TGGCAATACATGCCGAGTAGAATTTCAAAATTACAAAGAACCAGTGACTGTCGTGGGTTTCGTTTCCTTCTTTATTGAAAATGCATGTCTATGGTAGGTGTCTTTGCCTATCTCACCACTGTATTAGAGTGCATCAAGAACAGACAACATGCTAATATTATGCCTTAAAGGTCACTCCTTGCATCTTAGAACATTTACTCTTTGAACACAGCCACCATACTGTGAGAAAGACCAAGGAAGGAACTGAAGCTTATAGATATCCCCTTGGTTCAGTTCCAAGCCATAAGTCAGCATCATCTTGCTGCCACATGGGTGAGCCATCTTGGAAGTGGATTCTTCAATCTTAGTCAAGCAATCAGTTGACATTTTATGGAGCATAGAAAAGCCTCCCTCATAAACCCTCCCTACTTGAAGATTTATAAGAAAACTTTTTTTTTTTTTGCTGTTTTTAATCACTGAGTTTGGGGAAATGTAAATATTGTTACACTTTTATGTGTTTTAAGTTAAGCAGAGCAGTCATTTAGTCAATTAAAGTTAATAGACACTTTTGGTCATCTACTGGAGTCTGCTTACTATGGGAGGTAGTAAGTGGTGTCTGGCTCATTATTATGAAGCTAAATAGAAATCTCTGAGGATATTAGGTGGAGTTAGAGTCCTTATTATGTAATTAAACAGAAATACCTGAGGCTTGGTGATTTAATAAGAAAAAAGGTTTATTTTGCTCACAATTATAGTAGCTAGGAAGTCCAAAACCAAGAAACTAGCATCTGGCCAGTCTCCACGAAAACACGATATGTGAGAAAGAAGTAGAAATGTGAGCAGACATGTGCAGAGAGAGCCTGCAGGATGTCTTCTCACTTTCATAATAACCCAGACTCACACACCAACCCATTTCTACAAAATAGGAAACTCACTCCCTCCATGTGACAGCATTAATTTTCTCATGAGTATGATGACACCATGGTTCACACATCACCTGCGAGGATCCCTCTCTGAAAGGTCCTACCACTTCTCAGCCCCAGTTCATTGTGGATCAACCTTCCAGTACATGAACTTTTGGGCACCAAACCTTATGTCCTAACCATAACACAATAGTATGAAAAAGTGCAACCGGTCACATTGCTGATAGTCTGGTAGAAAGGGTAAGACAAGGGCATAATCACCTGAATTAGTCAGAGCTCAGTGAGAAGCATAAGTGCAGTATAAACTCCTCACATGGAGTACAGAATGAAAATCAGGAAATAATTCAAGAAATAGGTAAAAACGGAAGGAGACATTGATGCTAGGTAGGGTTAAATGTTGGACAAAAAAAAAGATAAAAATAAAAAGATAGTACTTGTAAATGAGAAATTATCTGGTTCCTAGGTCAGACCAGGACTATTCTCCATGAAGATCCTACTTTACAAGCCCGAAGTGGTGGTGGTGGTGGGGTGTCCAATGCGGTGAATTCAGGGTTATCTTCTATTATCCCCTGTGTAATGATGGCTGTAGTATGATGGCCAAGGAGGTCATTTTTTTCTATCACTATAGATTACTTTTCTTTCTTTCTTTATTTTTTTTGTTTTGTTTTGTTTTTGTTTATTTTGGAAAGGTTTTTGCTATAGGGCACGGGCGCTTGCCAGACAGAGAGAGACAGAGAGAGAGAAAGTGCAAAATCACCCCCCCAGGGGGAATGGCCATGCGGCCATCCCTTCTCCTCCATGCTCCTCTCAGGATCTTGGGCATGCACACACATGCGCCCGGCGTGAGTTTAAGCCACCGGGTCTGGGACTCAAACCATGCTTGACTACGTGGGAGTCTAGGGACATAGCCATTACGCTAACTGCTGGTCCCTAGATTACTTTTCTATAATAGTTATTCTATGGGACCAGGAGATGCTGTAAAGGTTACATTGCTGAACTCCCACATAGTCGACCGCAGGTGGACTCCCAGACCTTGTGGTTTGGTGTGTGAGTGCCCAAGATTCTGAGAGGAGAATGATGGAGAAGGGATTCTGGCAGGGCCATCCACCCTGGGGAATGATTACTTGCCTTCTGTCTCTATTTTTCTCTCTTTCTGTCTTTGTTCTCTGATGAGGGCACATGTTCTATAGCAAAAACTCTAAAAGAAAATAAAAGGTGTTCTACTAATTAATTTTTAGAGTGGATATATTTTATTCATGATAGAAAGTACGTATGTGTGCATATGTGAGAGAGAGAGAGAGAGCAACAAGGAGAGAGAAGCTCCCTTGACTGTCCCCCATCATGCTGCTCTCCTTTTCCCCAGCCCTCCAGATAGGATCTTGGGCATGTGCACAAGCACCCAGCACGTTTGAGGTTGACTGGGCCAGCGATCCAAACTTGCAGTCAACCATATGGCTTCCAGAGCTGCAGTTCAGTATGCTACAACTGAGTCATTGAGGCTGAGTCCTATTAATTACTATACTTCTTTTTTTAAAAGATGATTTCAGCATTTCTGTATTGTACTAATAAAAAAAAAAGAAATCAAGAAGCCCAAATGCCGAAAGGATACTAAGAAATTAGATACATTAAATAAGATAGAAAAAAAGACTAATCACATTAATATCATCTCAGCCTAAGTGCACAATCAATAGCAAGATGAAAAAAATTACATTAATGTCAGGATGCTGCAGAGAATGTTCTAAGCATCACTGTTGGACACAAACTCAGTCACTTTTTCAAAGCTGATCAAGGTATTAGTATAAATTTTATTTCTGGAGCTTCCTGCTTAAATATAACCCTTTTCTACAATGTGAAAGTTAATTTTTCTAGTGTCTACATATTCAATATTCAAAAACCTTAAATTCTATAATGCACAGTAACTTATCATAAATTTTTTATAAACATGATATAAAACAGCACTCTCTAGTTAATTGTATAAGACATCCTGACCAAGACAGCTTCTCTTTTACTGCATAGTGAGATTTTTCTGAAATTCATTACTGCAGGATAAATAAAATTCATTAAGGAGATCTAGAAGGTAGCAGCAGGTAAGTCATTTATTTTTTCTCCTATTATCGTCAATTCATAAAGCATGTAAAATCTGTCACATAAGGAAATAAATAATCTTTCAAGCAGGTAAGAAGAAACATTACAATAAAGTTATAAAGTAAAAAGGAAAAGTTAAAGAGGTAAAAAAAAATAGTGTTAAGTAATTTACTTGAGTTTAGCCAGGAACAAAGATGCATATGAATTGGGCTATACATACACTTTAGATACCTTGTAAACTCAACTTATAAGCAAGTTTTCCCCCGTCTATGCTCAGAAGGACAATTTTATATATTGAATACACTGTCTTTAACAAATTTTCAAATAATTAAGTGTTATATTATGTGACTTTGTGTGATTAAGGTGATTATTCATGGCCATAACACTGGTCAGGCCAATTATTAGACTCTTTATACAGACAGTAACTTTCTAATACTTACCAGTAAGCCCTATCGTGACACGTTATTCAGTACAAAAAATGGGCAGTACTAACAAATAAATTTAACAGGAAAAAAAATAAAGTTTTTCTATCTTAGTTTCAATTCAAGCACAAAAGTCGAAAATGTTGAAAATTAGGCCAGAATATAGCCTGGTGGTTAAGGCAGCTGGATCACACATGGCCAACTATGCAATTCAAGTTCTGGACCCATTGGCTTTGAAAAGACACCAGATATGTGTGCATATGTGCCCAAAATCCTGAGAGGAGAATGGAGAAGGAAATATGACTGAGGAGTCCTTTCTCACTTTACTCCTCTCTTTCTGTCTCTCTATGTCTACAGCAAGGATATTTGCCCACTGGCAAAATTAAAAAAAAAAAAAGTTGAGTATCAAATGGGGTAAATATATAGTCTTTAGAGGAAGCTATCAGATTTCTGAAGAGTAAGGAAATACTTCAAGACTTTGATATGTATCCCCTGAAGATAAAGAGACAGAGTAGACTGGCAACTGAGTCAGCCTGAGAAATCTGAATGTAAGATTCTGTGGCTATTGTCTTGAAATAAAGACCCTAGAGAGAGATGTCTGTACTTCAGCTGACTATGGATGGCAAGAAGCTCCCACTTTTTCTTGGAATTAAACATGAACCACTTCTAGAGGGCACGGTCATTCTGGAATGACTTAAGAGCATTGCTCAGGAATTCCAGAAGACATGTGATTGAGAGAAGTGATAAACTCTCACAATTAAGAGGAAAATTTAAATGCTATCAGCCAGAGAAAGTTTCCACCATATCAAAAAAAAAAAAAAAGTGGTGATGTGGGGGGGGTGAGTGAAGGGCAGTAGAAGTTCCTAGAAGATAATTATTGTAGCAACCACAAAAAGTCCCCTTATCAGAAAAACTCAATATGCAGTACCTTCGAATCCCTGAAGACATCATTGCCAGATCACATCAGGAGCAGACAAGTAAGAACTGTCCTCCACCTCCACCTCCCTCCCAATACAATTGTTGAGGGTCAGTGGGGGTGGTGAGTGAAGGGCAGTAGAAGTTCCTAGAAGATAATTATTGTAGCAACCACAAAAAGTCCCCTTATCAGAAAAACTCAATATGCAGTACCTTCGAATCCCTGAAGACATCATTGCCAGATCACATCAGGAGCAGACAAGTAAGAACTGTCCTCCACCTCCACCTCCCTCCCAATACAATTGTTGAGGGTCAGTCAAGGAAATAAGTAGAGAAGAGTTTGCTGACAGAGTAATATATCAGTCAGCCTCCATTTGTCCTGACTTAAAGAAGAGTATCACCAGGGAAGAAGAAATATTTTAGCTTTAAATAAAATTTAAAACGTAGTTATCACTGTGGACTGTTTTTTTAATTTAAGGAATTCTCTGAGATTTCACCTGAGAAGCTGAAAAACATTGTCCTGAGGATTGGATTTAAAAGGAGTGCAAGGAGAAAATCATATTTTATGACATGCATCTTTAAGTGTCTTATTATTTCAATGAATATGGCACAGATACAAAATGAATATGATAAAAGAGTGCATTATTTACTAAGGAATCGAAGATATAATAATATTTCAATGATATAGTTTTAGAGACCCTTTCTTGCCCAATGCTTTCCTGATAGCTAGTTGGACATCCTTGTTTCTGAGGCTGTACACCATGGGGTTTAGTAATGGAGTGACAATGGTGTACGTCACCGTCACTAGCCTGTCCTTGTTGGACACGTAGTTTGCTGTGGGCCTCAGGTAGATGAATGAAGCACAGCCATAGTGAACGATAACCACAGTGAGGTGAGAGGCACAAGTGGAAAAGGCTTTCCGTCTGCCCTCAGCTGAGGGAATCTTCAGGATCGTTCTCAGAATGCAGAGGTAAGAGACACAGATGAAGAAGAAAGGAACCACGAGTACCAAGATGCCACAAATGAATATGACAAGTTCATGAATATCTGTGTTGGTACAAGCCAGACGAATGACTGGTGAGATGTCACAGAAGTAGTGGTTGACCTTGTTGGCACTACAATAAGGGAGGCTGAAGACCAAACTTACTACTGTCAGCGAGGCCAAGAACCCTCCAATCCCACAGGCAGCTGCCAGTTTCCCACATACCTGCCATCGCATAAGGATGGGGTAATGCAGAGGGTGACAGATGGCGGCATAGCGGTCGTAACCCATCACACCCAACAACAGGCAGTTGGTAATAGCAAAGCCGAGAAAGAAGAACATTTGAAGGGCACAACAGGTAAAGGAGATGGACCTGGCCACAGAAAGTAGGTTGATGAGCATCTTGGGTAGGATGACAAAGGTGTAGAAGGTCTCAGATGTGGAAAGAATGCCAAGGAAAAAGTACATTGGTATGTGAAGGCTTTGATCCAAGCGGATGACACTTACAATAGTGACATTGCCACAGAGGATGACTAGATAGAGAAAGAGAAAAACCACAAAGAGGGCAAGCTGAATTTCACCAAGGCTTGAAAAACCCAGCAACAGGAACTCAGTGACCATGGTGAGGTTTCCTGACAAGACCTACGGAGAAAAGGGGAAGAAGTAAAACACGTTCAGGTACACGGATACAAGTGTCTGGAGTATGATTACATTGGACCTAAGAGTAATACAAAACAATTACTTTAAAATTTAACTAATTCTTAAGGACAGCAGGTGGCAATATCAATAAGGTGTTCAACTTTTGTATGGCTGCCCATGGTTCAAGTTGAGGACATGGTGGATTGAAAACCACTCCGGATGTGTGTGAATGCATGCCCAAAATCCCAGGAAGGGAATGGAGGAAAAAGGCTAGCGACATGGCCATCCCCTTGGGGAGTATTTTCTCACTTTCCCTCTCTCCAGCTCTCTCTGGTGAATGCGCACACACCCTATGGCAATAACCTTTAAAAAAAATAATAACTGATTTTTTCTGCAATCTCAATATTCCCATTTTTATGAAATCTAACATATTCTAAGATTCCAGGGAATAGAACATAGACATTTTGAGATGGATTCATTGCATTGCTTACTCCAACAGGCATTAAAAAATCGCAAATAGATATTAAGAAAACAGCCCTGCATCAGCCTGTGGCATGGTGGTTATGGCAGTTGGATTTCACCTGACTGACTGTGCAATTCAAGTCCTGGACTTTGTGGCTTTAGAAACACACAGGGCCTATTTACATGCATGCCCAGAATCCTGAAAGAGGAGGAGTTAGAGGGAGGTTCTTTCTTTGTTTCTGTCTCTCTCTCTGTCTTTCACACACACACACACACACACACACACACACACACACACACACACACACATTTTCTCATGCCTATCTCTCTCTAGTGAGTTCACATGCCATCTGGTACATTTAAGTGTATAGGCACAAAAATTAAAACTAAAAAATTTCATTTGCAATAGCATCAAAACAGATTAACAACAAATGTAACAGAAGACGTGTATGACATTTATACATAGAAAACTACTAACTATTGTTAGAAAGAAATAAAGAAGATTTGAATAAATGAAGAACATCCATGTTCATGACTTGGAAACCCCAATAAATGAAGAGGCATTTCTGACCAAATTAATTTATAGATTCAGCATAATTTTATTAAGTTCTAGCAGGCTTTTCTTGTAAATATTGATAAGCTAGTCATTTATATGAAAAGCAACCAGAATAGACAAATTGTCAAAATATGTGTATATATTAAAAATGGAGGACACATGCATTCTGATTTCAAGCTTACTCTAAAGTTACAGTAATCCTGATGGCCTAGCACTGGCAAAGAGTTGCACATAAGGTCAGTGAGATCCCAGAGACTGAACACTTCAGAAGGTGCATTGCTCTAGTTTGTGTTTAACCTTCATGTGACTGTATTGAAAAACATGTTTTATTTTTAAAGTTCTGCAAACTTAGTTGGACAGGTTAATTGTGTTTTTAAAACTTGATAAGCAGTTTTTGGAAGGGCAGTTCGGTTTGTTTCACACTGTAAAATATTGGGAAGGTCTATTTGGAAAGGCAGGACTTTTGGACTAAATTTCCTTGGGTAGTGTGGGGATTACTGATGAAAATGGGTTAAGTCTAGAAAAAGCACAATCTCAAAGACTAACTCAGGCAAAAAAAAAAAAAAAAAGGAAAGAAAAGACGGTACCACTATGAAAATGAAGAGGCATAACACAGATGGGAGATGTATATTCACAAAACATGTATCTAATAAGGGATTTGTAGCCAAAATATGTAAATAACTCTTACAATTGCATAATAAGATTAACACCTAGTTTAGGAAAAAAACTGGCAAATGATTTGGATACACTTTTCCGCTAAGTTATTTCAATGAATATGAAATATACACAAAGATGCCCAATATCACTATTCATTCTGGAAATACAAAATACAGCCACAATGAGATGACTGTTACATGCCCTCGAATGATTATAACTAAATAGACACTAAAAGGAATGATAAGGATGTAGAAAAGCAGAGACTCTCATGTATTGCTGGTGGAAATGTAAAATTATACAGCCTACAAAAAAAAAGACTAAAGACAAAAAATAAATCAGATACAACCTCAATGCAGAACTTAACTCTGTGCATTATATTACAAATGTTTTTAAGAAAATGATTCAGAAAGACAAAAACATAAAAAGAAGGAAAGATAACACCAAATGCACAAACCAAGCTAAAAACAAACAAACATGTCTTGTGATTTTGATAGTCACTATATAAAATAGAAGCCAGAAACATGAAGTGAAAAATAACCAAAATAAATATTTTTAACATTAACACCTGCTCTTCACAATGAAATTAATACCCTATGTCCCCAAGATATATAGGTACAACCTTCATAAGAAAGATACTATAAAAGATTTATAAGGAAAAACAGAGACACATAAATAATGGACAGCTTCAATACAGAACTTTGTTCAAAACAGATCAAGAAGAAAAATATAACTAAGGATGTAGGCGACCTACACCACAATATAAGTAAGATGAATCTTGTAGGCATTTATTCAGCGTTATCTGCTAATAAAACAGTATCACAGGGCCGACAGGTGGCATGGTATTTAAGGGTGCTGGACTCCCACATGGCCCACCGTGGTTCGAGTCCTGGACCTGGCAGCTTGCTTTCTCACTTTCCTTCTTGCTCCCTCTCTCTCTCTAGCTCTCACTCTCACTCTTGCTCTGTCCTTCTCTGGTCAAACTAAGATAAGTAAGTAAATAAATAAATGTAAATAAAATAATTCTAAGAAAAAGAATGTCACTGTCTTTTCAAGGCATATTTATGAATATTGGCTATTAAGTCACCAAAAAAACTTCAACCAATGTCATAAAGTGGAAAGGATACAAGCAATATCCTAACCCTAACGTATTAAACTATTAATGTATGATAAAATAAAAATGCTCTTCTACCTGGGGGTTTTAAAATACTATTGAACAGTCATTGGGTAAAGGGAAAATACAAACTAAAATGAAATAAGTCCTAGAAAATAATATTAATTACACTTCACAAAAAAACAAAAAAGGAAAAAGAAAAACCAGCTTACCTCTTAAACTCACATAATGTTCAAAAATTCTTGTAAATGTTAATAAAATGCAAACAATTAAAAGGATTTTTAAAAATGTATCACTGGGACCAGCATTAGTGTAATGTCTATATTGCTGGACTCCTATGTAATCCACCGCGGTTCGCGTCCCGGACCTGGTGGCTTAAAAACTCATGCCAGGTGCGTGTACGTATGTGCCCAAGATCCCGAGAGGAGAATGGAGGAGAAGGGATTGTGGCATGGCCATCCCCCCGGGGGATGATTTCTCACTTTCTGTCTCTCTGTCTCTCTCTGTCTGTCTGTTTGGCGAGCACACGCACCCTATAGCAAAAACCTCTCAAAAAAAAAAAAAAAAGTATCACTGATTAAAATTTTTAAAAATAGACTTAAACATATTGAAATATCATGAGTAGTAAATAACGATCTGACTTATATAAAATAAAATATCTGTTTGCAATAAATGTCAGTCAGAAATATTTAATGAGCAGCAAGCAACAAATGGAAAATTGCCAAAAATATTGTTAAAGTGTTAATATTAACAAAAATGTTTTACCTACTTAAGGAGAAAATAATATCAAGTGTAATGAAGATTACAAATATAAACATACAATTTATAAAATAGAAAAAGAATGCATCCAACATGCAAAAGTTTATTTCACTTTATTTAAAATATTTTTCAAATTAAAATTAAACTACAGGGGGCCGACAGCTAGTGTGGTGATTAAGGCACTGGACTCCCACATAGTTGACAGCAGTTTGAGTCCCAGACCTGATGGCTTGCTTTCTCACTTTCCCTTTAATCTGTCTGTCTCTCCCTGGTCAAATTAAATAAAAATAAGTAAAATTAAATAAAATAGTTTTTTTTTTAAAGATTAAACTATGAGATTATTTACATTCATTAAATTAGCAGTGGTGATGTGGGTTATATGACTAGCAACAAAATATTTACTAATAGTACTATAAATTGGTTATAATTCTATGCAAAGAAATTTAGTAATATGTGTCAAGATCCCTGAATATATTCATTCTTTTATTTCTAGCACTCTGTTTCTTAAAATTGACACACAGCAGATTTATGCATAAAAATGGGTATCACAGAAAGAAAAATGCGGAAGTCATAAAACAAGCTAGTAGGTTAGGTTTATAATAAAGATATCATAAAAGATTTCCAAACAGTATTGTGGAAGAGAGTATGAAATCTAGAAGATGCTAACTTGGATTTAGGTCTGACTTCTTCCATTGGCTAACTGCATGATCTTGAACAATTGATTTAACTTCTATCTTTTGCAGTTTTCTTGTCTAGAAGGGGCAGCTATGAATATTAAATATATTAGCATACCTAAGGTATAGAGAACAGTGCCTGCTCCCTGAGAAATATGTTCTTTATTATGATTATTCTTATTAGCCTTGTTCCTGCCTAGATAAATCTGCTTTTTGGAGATCAGGATTTTGAAACTTTATGATTATCCTGTGACTGAGATCAATGAGTCCATTTATTGGTCAACACCAGAAGTTTCAAAACCCAAATAGAGAGTAGGAGAAAGAAGCAGAGAAGAGAAGATTAGGGGGAAATAGAGTCTGAGTAGCCCTTATTTAAAGTGAATCCTTTGTTTCAATGTGATGCAAAAAGGCATAGTAGGTGGCAATTAAAACAAGTTGTTAACTTTGTTTTGCAGAGAGAGCTACAAAGATAGAACCCACAACTCCATGGCCTGACCAACTGATCCAACATCCTCTTTATTGGTAGATGAACTTCCTTTATATCTTCAGGCTCCCTGATTCCATGACTGATTCTTGGTGATTTTGTCATGACCGATTCTTCTCTAAAGGCAGAACAATGGAATCTGAAGACAATCAGTGTTTCTAAAAAGAAAAATAAATAGCCCATGATACTCTTTATTTTCTATATTTTTTGTCATTTCTCCCTCATACATGGACCTTGAAGAAGAAAATCAGAAAAAAAAAAAAACAAAATAATTCAAGGAGGGAAGATATATATAATATATAATATATATGTATTATATACATATACATACATAATATATATGTATTATATACATATACATACACATATGTATATAATACATATATGTGTATATACATATGTACATATATGAATATACATATGTGTGTATATGTATGTAATATACGTGTGTGTGTATGTATATATATATTTTTTTTCCCCCTTACTCCTGTTGATCTTGGAAAGGCAACTAGAGAAAATTACTTTTTGTTATTTGGGCAGCAACAATACAAGATCCTGAGAATGAAAAGCAGGACATTGTGAACACTAGAGCATCTTAGAGAAGATGGGAGAAGTCAGAGGAATAAGGAGCAAAGTGGGGACATTGAAGCAGTTCAACTGGGAAGAAGTGGCAATACCAGGGAGATTAACATTTATATTTAAGGGAATACCCTCTTACACAGAATCTGACAATGATCCCCACAACGTTTTACAAAATTTCAATTCCCTTAGAAGAAATGAAAGAAAGGCTGCTGATAATTTGGTTTCTTATGACATTCCAAAGTCATCCCTTCCAGGTACCAGATTTTATCTCAATGTTTTAAACATATGGAATTTCACGCAGTTCACTAAACATGAAGTGAACCAGGTTATACAACAACAATGTCCTGGCCTGTGCTTGGGTGGATCCTCCGATCTTTCAAATAATTTGTTCTGAAGCACTCTCTTAGTTTAAAAAATATTGGGTACATACTATGTCCCAGACCACTCTATTAGGTGTTGGATTATATCAATGAACAAAACAACGATCCCTGCCCTCTTGAAATATATATTCTAGAACCTCTTACAGTTTAGATAATTCTAGATAAGGATTTCTCTTGCCCGGTAAAATTTGAGCTTTTATGTTGTTGTTCATTTGACAAAAAATGTATGTGCCAGGTACCAGGTATTCATATACATTTCTCTAATCCCAGCAGCGTCATAGTTCCTAACAAATAGCACATATTCAAAATCTGAAAAAAATAAATGATTAATAGATTCGTACATAAGTAAATCATCACAACTATATTGCTCACAAAACTGATAAAGATATGTTCATTGATCAAGGAAGCTAGATAAAGATCTATGTTGTGATAAACGCACTAGAGATAGAGGAAAAAGCATGAATTCACATTCTTATTGCAACATGGTTTAGGTAAATAATTTAATCTTACTGAATCTTGGTTTTCTCACATTTGGGATAGTATAAAGATTAGTGGACAGCATAAGTGAAAAATGTAGTCCAGAATTACACATAAGAAACCCTACTTTGGTCCACACATGGTGACACAGAGGTAACACAGGATTCCATGGCACTGAAGCTACTTGGGATGGTCTTGGATTTGTGGCTCAAGCTCCCCTGTACACTTCTGGCATGCATACAAGTGCTTATGATCATCCTGGTTGGCTGAAGCTGGGTGTGGATTGTAACAGGAAGATCCTGTTCGAGGTGCCAGTATCTCTCTCTCTCTCTCTCTCTCTCTCTCTCCTCTCCTGTTCTTTCTCTTTGTTTTCTTCTCTCATAGAACAAAAGAAACAAAAATCTTTTTAAACAAAAACCCTAATTAAATACTTAGATATTTTCTTTGTTCCTTTCTTTTTCAGATTGATCCCAGAGATAGCTCCTGGGATCATTCTGTAATATCTTGAATGTTACGCCCTTTTCCTAACCTTAACACCTCAGTTTGGACACTGTCTTGTCTCCCCATTCAGCACTTTTCCTATCAATATGCTTCAATTCCTCACTATCATGTATTTGTCAACCTCAAGTGTAAGAAGATAGTAATGATTTCTGAACTGAAAAGACATAACTATCAGGACCAGCAGTTGGCATAATGGCTGTGTCGCTGGACTCCCATGTAGTCAACCGCTGTTCAAGTCCTGGACCCAGTAGCTGAGCGTGTGTCCTTATACAAGAGGAGAATGGAGGAGAAGGGATTGCAGCTTGGCCATCCTCCTTGGGGTGTGATTTCTCACTTTCTGTCTCTCTTTCTCTCTCTGTCTGGCAAGTGCACACGCCCTATGGCAAAAAAAAAACCTCTCCCCGAAAAAAGACATAACTATCACCTTCTAGATGGTATAAATGTGTCTTAAGATTTTAGATAATTTCTATTAAGCCATCTCTGAAATAAGGCCAAATACCCAGTAAGAAAGTATTGCATTCCCCAAAACATGAGTCCTAGGGACCAGAGGAATGCAGCTGTTCAATCTCCTAATCATGGCACAGGACCCTTAAGAAAATATCTAATTTGCCACTCCCAGTATATTACACATCTTCATATGGTTCTCTTAAAATTTTTCAAACCAGCAACAAGACACTTACCACCTCACTACCCAGAAGAGTGGCCATGTGCACCTGCTGTGTGGTCTCAGCTACAACCCTAATGAGTGTAATTAACAGGGCTTTTTTTTTCTATCAGTCAATGCCCTGGTAGGTAATTTTACTACTCAGAGCCCTAGAGAGCCATTACCACATTGCTTCTGATACACAATCTTCCTGCTCTCAATTAGCAACTATGATCCAAGGGGAAAATGGACCTCAAAGCTCTTTTGCCAAAGAGATAAGCCATAGTACTTAGGGAATGAGATTTACTATTTTTAATTTCCTAATGAGGTGACTCATTTACAAATATGGAAGCTGCTGGACATTGCTAACCAAAAAATACCTGATAACCTCCCCCCTTGGGGTTCCTCTTGTACTTTCAGTAATTTTTTTTTTAGAGGTTTTTGCCTTAAAGCGTATGTGCTTGCCAGAAAGAGAGAGAGAAACAGAGACAATGAGAAAGAAAGTGAGAAATCCCCCGCCCAAGGGGGTGATTTAATCCTTCGGTTGAAGGCAAGAATGTTTCGTGCTGTTCCACTTCTGAACTATACTCATGCCCTTTTCTGTTACTGGCATATAATAATTGCATATACTTGTGGGTTACAATGTGATTTTTCATTTGAAGAATATCATGTGTGTTGATTAAACTGGAGTGATTATCATATCCATCAACTTATCTATTTTTCATTATGTTAGGTTGAGAACACACAAAGTCCTTTTTTTATATATTGGGAGATACACAGTAAATTGTTCTTAACCATATTCATCTTATTATACTCTATGACAGAAGAAATTGTTCACCATATGGATCCATAATTCTATTTTCACTAATGATCATCCTTCTGTCCTTCTTTGCTCTATCCTTCCCATCCTCTAATAGTCATTCTTTGACTCAAAGCATAGGAAAAAATGCTCAGCATCAGTAATCATTACAGAAATGCAAATCAAAACCATAGCAAGATACCATTTCAGCCAGTTAGAAAGGCTATTATCAAAAAGACAAATAACAAATGCTGGCAAAAATGTGGAGATAAAAGAATGTAAATTTTATTGTCATTGTGGAAAAAAGCATGGAAATTTCTCAAGAAAACAAAAATAAAATTGCAATATGTTCCAGCAACTGATCCCACTACCAGGCATATATCTAAAGTAAAGAAACAGCATGCTGTAAAGCTTTCTGTTCTCCAATGTATATTACATTATTCACAATAGCTAAGACACAGACTCAGCCTAAGTGCCAATAACAGATGAATGGATAAAGAAAACAGGGTAGATATACACAATGGGATACTATTCAACCATAAAATAATAATGAAATCCTGTCATTTGAGATAAACAGGTGCAACTGAAGGTCATTACATTAAATGAAATAACACAGGTATGGGCTCTATTTTAAGGAGAAGGATAGAGTTTGAGAAATTCCACAGAAATGGATTGACAAGTGCCTATAGTGATAACAGAAAAGAGTGAAGATAGAAGTTGCAACCTAACATAGGAGTATTCACTTGCAGGCCTCAGAGAACCATTTGTATGTTGATTTATTCCAAAGAACATAATTACTTCCTACTTCCTCTCATGAACTGCGTTATATTAGAGCATTGTGGGCTAAAATAATTGATAGCGCCCCCCTTAAGAAATTTAACTCTACTGGAGGAGACAAAGAAAGCATTGACTACAGCATGCCATGATGGGGATATGAGAGAGATATGTGTGTGTCACTAGTAGAACATATAGAAAAAAAGCATAAACTAGATTACAGAGGTTAATAACGTCTTAAAGGAGATGATGTCTGACTGAAGTTTAAAATTTGAGAAGTATATAGACAAATATTAAGAAAGAATTAATTTCAGGAAAATACATGTAAAGATAAGGAAGCATGAAACAATGTGTTGTCATTTGCAACAGAAAGCATTTAAATAAGAATTTTAACTTGAACAATTAAAATTTACCTTCCAGTCTACTAGGAGCTATGGAAGGATTTATAACCTGAGCCATTTTCTGGTGAGATTTCCATTTTGGAAAGTTTTTGATGACAATGGTGACAATAAAAATCAACACAAGAAATATTCAGTATATGCTAGGTATGGTACTATGTTAAATACATATTATCTAATATAATCTGCACAACAAACTTCCCTGGCAGCAGGGTGAAGAATGAATTGGGGAGTGCCAGAGTTGAAGTTCTTGTAGTAATCCAAAGGAAATAAGATAATACATTGAGAATGGAGAAGGAATGCTATTGAGGAACTTTAAGCCAGTAAAATCTAAGGGGATTAGTGTCTGGTTTACTATGGGGTATGAGGAGAAAATGTTTTAAAAGTGATAAAGACGACTTCCAAGTTTGTAGATTGGCTATGTGGGGACAGAATTAACATTTACCAAGAGCATAAATGTGTCAGAGCAGGCTTGGCAGCAGAAAATGGCAGTGTGGACAATGCTTTCATAACACAAGTATTTCTGATATGTCAGATACTACACAAAAAAATTGAATTTACAAGGTTGTGTTTTATATATAAAGTCAAGACACCAAGAAAATCAAATTTATTTTAGAGAGATATAAGAAAAAGTAGTTAAGACCCAAAAGTACAGGCAACAAAAGCAAAACAGACAAATGGGATTTTATCAAACTAAAAAGCTAAGGAAACAACAGAGTGAACAGACAACCTATGTAATGGGAGAATATTTTTGCAAACCATACCTGTCTAATAAGGGGTAAATATCCAAAAAATAATGAACTCAAGTAATTCCATAGTAATAAAACAAATAACCTGATATTTTTTTAAATGAACAAAAAACATAAAAACTGGCCAGAAGATATATTTTTAAAATATTCAGCATATCTAATTCTCAGAGAAAGGCAAATTGAAGCCACAATAAACTATTACCTCCCACTTATTAGAATGGCTATTATGAAAAGCAAGAAAGACAGTAAGTATTGCTGAGGACATGGAAAAAAGTGAACCCCTAAGTCTTGCTTATGGAAATGTAAATTAGTACAACCATTATGGGAAAAAGTATAAAGGTTCCTCAAGAAATAAAAATAGAACTATTACGGGGACAGCAGGTGGCATGATGATTAAAGGCACTGCATTCCCACATGACCAACTTTGGTTCAAGTCCTAGATCCGGGGGCTCAGGCTTGCTTTCTTGCTTTCCTTTCTCTCTCCCTCTGTGTCTTTGTCAGGTCAAATTTAGAAATTAATAATAACAAATGGAATTAAGTAAATAAGTAATTATTTAAAAATAGAGATATTATGAGATCTAACAATCATACTATTGGGTATAAATTCAAAGAATATGAAATTAGTATATTGAAGAGATATCAGAATTCCCGCATTTATTTTAGCATAACTGGGATATGAAATCAACCTAAGAATCTACCAGTGCATGAAAAATATCAAGAAAACGTTGTATTTACATAAAAAAAATACTATTTGGTCATAAAAAATGAGAAATCTTGGGAACCAGCAGTTAGCGTAATGGCTATGTCGCTGGACTCCCACGTAGTGGACCACGGTTCAAGTCCTGGACCCGGTGGCTTAAAATCCACACCAGGCACGTGTGCGTGTGTGCCCAAGATCCCGAGAGGAGAATGGAGAAGAAGGGATTGTGGCATGGCCATCCCCTGGGGGGGGGTGATTTCTCACTTTCTGTCTCTCTGTTTATCTGGCGGGCGCACGCGCCCTATGGCGAAAAACCTCTCAAAAAAAAAAAAAAAAGAGAAATCCTGTCATTTGTCACAACACGAATACTATGTCGAGTAAAATAAATTAGGTACAAAAAGACAAGTACTGCATTATCTCATTGATATGTGGAATCTAAAAAGGTCAAACACATAAGAAGCAGAGAGTCAAATGGTAGTTACCAGAGAACTGAAGGAGGAAGAGGTCATTGAGGAGAATCTGGTAAATGGGTGCAAAATTTTAGTTAGAAAGGAGAAATAAAGTCAAAAGATCTGTTGTAGGTTATGTGACTATAGTTAGTAGTAATGTATAGTATAATTAAAAATTGTTGAGAGAAGATTTTAAGTGTTCTCACCACAAAAATGTATATGAGGTAATGCATATGATAATTACCTTTATTTAACCATTCTACAATTATATCAAAGCATCATGTTATACACCATAAGTATATACATATATACAATTTTTGTCAATTAGAAAAATAAATCTTTTAAAAAAGCAGTTATACTGGCCTTTGCAAACCTCTAATGGTCCAACCCTTTCTTACTTCATGGCTTTTGTACATGTTGCTCTTTCCATCTGAAAGAATCTCAAATGATCACCTCTACCTGGTGACTCCCAACTAACCTTCAGGTTATAGATTAAACATCAGTTTTTCTGAGAGACAAGTCCCATACCTTTTCATTTAAATTAGATTTCTTTTGGTATACCCTCCCCTAAGCCAGGCATGTTGTTTTTCCTTCAGAGAATACACTAAGACTAGTGGTAAAGTATTTGTTTCTCCATTTATCTGTTGACTAGAACTGTCTCAAATCATACAGTAGGTCTATGAGGGCAGAGACCACATGTATTCTATTCATTATTAATATCTACTAGCTAGAATAGTATCTGGCAAACATCAATGAATGACTAAATATTTATTGACATGATAAGAGATATAAATAGGCTGGGAACCAGCAGTTAGCGTAATGGCTATGTCACTGGACTCCCATGTAGTTGACCACGGTTCACGTCCTGGACCCGGTGGCTTAAAACTCATGCCGAGCACGTGTGCATGAGTGCCCAAGATCCCGAGAGGAGAATGGAGGAGAAGGGATTGCAGCGTGACCATCCCCCCAGGGGATGATTTCTCGCTTTCTGTCTCTAAGTCTCTCTCTGTCTGTCTGGCAAGCGCACGTGCCCTATAGTGAAAACTTCTCCAAAAAAAAAAAAAGAGAGAGAGAGAGAGAGAGATAAATAGGCCATGGGGGTTATGAGACCACAAAGACAGACCCTGATCTCATTGGCACAGAATAGCAGGCAGGAGAGTTTGCAGAAATAATGAGATAATTGAGACAGCCTTGAAAGATGAGACGACATATACAAGTAAATTAAAAAATAGGAGTTATTCCAAAGAGAAGAAGCAGCTCATAAGAATATATTGGGTCATCAGAAAAGTAATGGAAAACATAGAAAAAATACATCATAACTTTTCCAACAACCCAATGGAATCATGCCACTTCAGGGACAAGCAAGTAGTGGTTAGCTTCAGAGTGCACAAGTAGGCACATATAGAAAATGGATCATTAAAACTGTAGAAATAATAATGCTGGAGAGGTAAGCAGAAATTAGACGATATAGCCAGACTAAGGAAGGACACTCAGTTTCATCTTATATGGCAAGAAGAGTCATTGGGGGACTTTTCCTTAGACTTTCTGGCCATTATGTGATTCTACTTGTCTCTCTATTAATATCAACTCAATCCCCTTGCTTAGAATTACTTAAGATATTTCAGAATTTTCCAATGCTAGCAGCTTCCCTGAAAAGAATAAATGTGATATTCAGGGGGTGAATGTGGGGGCTGAGACAAGAAACTATGGGAGGGACATTCATATACAAAGGATGAAGACTCCATAAAGAAGTTCCAATTTCAAACAAAGGAAGTAAAGGCAAAGACATTTTAATATAGAAATCTAAGGAATAAATCAGAGGTCACAAAGGGCTACTCAGGTCTGTTGCAGAACAGGTGGGACCAATATTGTCCACTGTCCTTAGACACATAGAGGGAGAGATGCATGTTCTGCTGTTGGTCTTTGTAACTACACAGCTTGAGGACATCTTTGCTCTTCTCAGTGGTTCTTATCAGCTTTGATATATCTTTGCTCTCATATCAGTTTTTAAAAGACCAGGATTTATAGTGGTGAAATATCATTAATTTTATTTTGGAACTAAGAAACCTCTTACCATATTTACTTAGTCTTCAGAGAATATCACTGAGAGTAGAAAGCCAGAATGCCTTAATTTCTTTGAATGTCCTCCTCCTACTACGTATAATGTCTTCATGGTACTTTGCGGGTGTACAATCGAATGAGAAAATATGTGAAAGCACATATCTTGTCTGGCACACATTAATAATTAAAAATTGGCTTGTTAATGAACAGGATATGAAGTCTGGCCCATTACTCTTTGAAGGGCTGATTTGAATTCCTTATTTCTTAGACTATAAATCATTGGATTGAACAATGGGGTAAGGATGGTATAAGACACAGATATTAGGGTGTCCTGGCTTGATGAGTAGTTGGACTTGGGCCTTAAGTAGATGAAAGAGGCACAGCCATAGTGGACAGTCACCACGATGAGATGGGAGGCACAGGTGGAGAAAGCTTTGTATCTTCCAACAGTGGATGGGATTTTTAGGATGGCAGAGATGATGCGGACATAGGAGATTAGAATCAGTAACAGTGGAATAACCAAGACAAACACACCAAGCATAAATATGACCAACTGACTGAGGCGGGTGTGATGAGAAGCGAGTTTTAGGACAGGGGAGATGTCACAGAAGAAATGATGGAGCTCGTTGGAGGAGTGGAAGGGCAAGTGAAATACGAGGGAAGTTGTGACCAGGGAGACAGTAAAACCGCAAGTGCATGCAGCAGCCACGAGTCCTGTACATGCTCTGTGTCCCATGAGCACCGTGTAGCGCAGTGGGTTACAGATGGCCACGTAGCGGTCATAGCCCATGGCTGCCAGCAGGAAGGAGTGAGAACAGCCGAGGAAGAGGAAGGTGAACATCTGGATGGCACAGCCCAGGAAGGAGATGGTCTTCTTCTGAGACAGCAGGTCGACCAGCATCTTGGGGACAATGACGAAAGTGTAGCAGGTCTCAGAGCAGGACAAGACGGCAAGGAAGAAGTACATGGGAGTATGAAGGGCTCTGTCCAGCACGATGGTGGAAATGATGATGGCATTGGTGCCCAGAGTGAACAGATAGAGGAACAGGAAGACAGCAAAGAGCAGCCGCTGCAGCCCAGCCAGAGAGGAGAAGCCAAGGAAGACAAACTCTCTCACCACAGTCTCGTTGACCCACTCCATGGAGAGCACTTCTGTATAGGAGAGTCAGGGACAGAGGTAGAGGGTAGGATCCAGGAAGAGAGAACTGTCTGGGGCACTCTGCACAAAGCTTGCAGATGGCAGGCATTTCCAGATATTTAGTGGAATTTCTTCATTCACTCTTTAAAATGTTGGCTAAATAAAGAATAGAGCTAAATATGCAACAGAGTCTTTGACAACCAATTGGATGTACTCTTCAATGTAAAGAACGAGTTATCTTTGCAGCCAAGGATTAGAGAATTCTCTCATAGTTTTCCCTTTTACCTTAAATATGGATGATTTTGTTTTCTTGCTAACAAAAGCCCAAGGACATTAGCCTTCCAAAAGTCAAAAATGTTAACTTTGGGTATCTAAAGCTTACCAGAATGTTCAATGAAAAAATGAATACTGTGCAGATACAAGGATACACAATTTATCTGACCGTAAAATGAGAAGAGGAAGAATTAGATGCTCTCTGAGTAGCAGTGAGAGGAGATTTATGTTAATTGAGGACTTATTATATGCTAAGATAGATAGCGAAAATAGTATCTGAAATTAATTTTAAGATAAGATTGTTCAATCTCATGTCTGTACCCAAAATGATAAAACAAAACAATAAAAAAAAAAACCTGTAGCTTTACTCCTGACAGACTAACCAATCAGAAATACACTGGAAATTCCACAAGTTGGAATATTTAGTCAAGGATGGAACTAAAGTAATATTCACCTAAAGAAATTTTATTTTTTTGGAGAAGTTTTTGCTATAGGGCGCGTGTGCTCGCCAGAAAGACAGAGACAGAGAGACAGAAAGCAAGAAATCATCCCCCAGGGGGGATGACCATGCCGCAATCCCTTCTCACCCATTCTCCTCTTGGGACCTTGGGCATGCACGCACCAGGTCTGGGACTTGAACCGTGGTCGACTACATGGGAGTCCAGCAACATAGCCATTATGCCAACTGCTGGTACCCAAGAAATTTTTCATAAAAAAGAAAAGTCACCTGGATGGAAGAGAAAACTTGGTAACTTGGTGGCATTTTACACCATACGGCACTTTTCCATTCTATAGTACCCCAGAGATAAAAAGTTGTGCAACAGTGATAAAAATGGGACACTGGCAAGTTGCCAGGTTCCACCTCCCCATGGTAAACTGCAGTCTGTGTCTTTATTGTGTTTTCTTAGGTCAATAGAATTTCTTTTGCACATTCCACTACTAAAAACAGTTTGAAAACTGTTAGAATTAGTCTTAAAGTAATTTTAGGCTTGATTTTTTGCCTGGGTGTATTTTTAATTTAATAAATAGTGTTAGCTAGGGGCAAAAATCATCTAGCATGCATTGCCGGTGTCCAATATTTATTATATACTTCTGAGGCTTTTACATAATTTTATGTTGAAGAATTATTGGCATCTTCTAAAGAGGTTTTTGTTTTTGTTTTCGTTTTGGTTTTACGTTTGCATTTTTTAAATTCAATAGCAACTCTTTGCTTTTAACTTAAGTTAATGGGCTAGCAGGTGGTGTAGTGGTTAAGGTGCTGGATTCCCATGTGGGCAACTGCAGTTCCAGTCCCAGACCAGGTGGCTTGAAAATCATGCTGCGCTTGTGTGTGCGTGGGCCCCAAATCCAAAGAGGAGAATGAAGGAGAAGGGACTGCAGTGTGGCCATCCCTCCAGTGTTGATTTCTCAATTGCCCTATCTCTTTCTCTCTCTCTCTCTCTGGTGAGCAAATGTGCCCTATCGTTAAAATCTTAAAAAGAACAATAGAAGAATAAAGAACCTGAGTTAAGTCACTAGACATTTCTGAAACTCATTGCAGCTATTTTGAGAATTTAAAGGTAATATTTTTTCTTCCTTCCTTATTAGGAACTGGTCCTAAGCTTAATCAATATAATTTCATTTACTGAAATTAATGTTAGGATGCTCATAGTCTCTAATTTTAAAGCTGTTTAACACAAAAGGAATTTTTTTCTGTAATTATAAAAATACCGCTATTATATATATACACAAATACAGAGAAATTATCTACCAGATATATCTCCATTATGTGTGTGTGTGCTAGTTATATGTTTTCTACATCTATCAATGCAAAAGTTCATCTGCCTATTACCTTTTCCTGGACAAATGGATTTCTCTTTATTCAAAACTGAAGAATTATTGTTTTGCCTTGTTTCATCAGTTTCCAATGAGACTTTTATCTGGATCTCTTTTCAACTAATCCACCTCTAACCCCTGCTAGGCCCTCACTCCACTCAATATGAAGTACAGAGCAGAACACAGATGCTGAAATTCTCTGTTCTGAGGAGATGCCTCTAACTATCTCATAAGAAAGAAAATTAAATTTGGATAATCTGTCACTCAAGCCCATGTAGGTAACTGATTTCATGTTAAGTGAATTATAACATTTTATTAACATAACCCCATCACCTAAATAAATTGTGGTTGTTGTACTTGCCCTTTCCATAGATGATGGGGCCATGCAGGCAACACAAGCTGGTAAGGATGCTGCCTCCCATTCTAAGGCAAGGCCTGGACTGGGAAGAAACTGAGGCAAGGCCCAGTTTACGAGCTCTCCCTTGTGTCCTTGAACTGGCCGGTATTCAATTTCTCTGCCGTGAGTTTTACTGTTATTACGGTACCCTGCAAGGGTAAACCATCACCCCCAATCATTGCAATAAAGCCAATTAGTGATCTTATAGGAATGTGGTTCCCTAAGACTGACAGGAGGATCAGGAAGTTTAAGACTCCCCCACCTGTCTGTTTTTAAGCCAAAATTAACATATAGATTAAGTTAGTATAAACCAAATTAGCATTAGAAGTATATGTAGACTAAGTTAGTTTAAGGTTAGTTTTATGTAGATACCCCTTATTAAAGCTACAGGCTTAAGTTAACTCATGCTAGGCAAAGTCAGCACATTCACCACATAACAGAGACACAGAGATAAAACAAAAGAACTCACTAATTGACAAGACTCAACAAACAAAATGCAGGAACCCACAGATTTATTAAGGGAAAAAGCCTAACTGGGACAACAGAATAAACAAAACTGAGGGCTCCACAGAAAGATTAACCAATTTTAGCTGGGAGCTCTTATCTAAAGCAACAGGTAGCTTTCAACTACAAAGAGTTTCTCATCTATGTGCTGTTGACCATGAAAAACTGCTAAAACATCCTGTGTTGTCTCCTGAGCTACAAGATCATCTTCCTTTCCCATATAGATCATAGACTCACCCTCCATTGTTGTAATGTATAGATAGTCCATATATTAACTGTGTCTTTACTTAGCAAGACAAGATTTCCATCTAAGTCGTTGTAACCAGCAACGTTATCGCTCTGGCCTGGGACTAAAGTTATCAAACATCCTGCAAGCCCCCTCTTCAAAAGACTCTTCCCAGTAATCAAGATCTAAGTAGAAGATACAGCAGACAAATGGACTTTCTCATCCTGAGAACTGTGATTAATTTTACCTGAGCTAACAAGACAAACAGCATGTTTTATAATTATTGCTTCCATGCTTTGTATACCCTGTTCCTTAGAGTAAATCTTTTACTGCCCCTCACCCATTTACTTGCATGTATCACATTTTCAATAAAAAGGCACGATGATTCCTAGCAGTTGTCATTCCTCAGAGAGGTGTCCGGCATAGGACATGCATGAAAAGGCATCGAGGCCTCTGTCTTCTGTTCACCTTTGCCGCCTCCGTCAAGATAACCCACCCACGCCGAGGCTGGACCCCGGCACATAACGTATGAAGACCCAGCTCCGTGGTTCACCTGAGCAAGCAGCACCTATCTGCTCAAGATGGCACCCGGCCCCTGCACCATTTGTTATCATTGTACTAACACAGAACGATAGAAAAGCAGGAAATTTAAATACTCTTCTAGCAAAATACCTATGGACTATGAAACGAAGATAAAAGATTTTACTTTGGAGTTAGAAGATCTAGATTTTTAAACCCAGTTTTGTATCACTTGGATGTTCAGTCTCCTTATTTTAAAACTAAGGGGCAAGTGTGAGCAATCATTGAAATGAGCTGTTAGGGTCATGATACTAAAGTAGGGGCTCTGTGAACAGTGTCTTACAGAGGAGTTTGACTTCGAGTAGCATCTGAGGACTGTGACCATGGGAACTTCCAACTCAGAAAATCAAAGATTCTTTAGATAAATAATCTCAAAATCTCCTCAGTATAATATTCTAGAACAGATGGATAAAATTCAGGTTATTATCCTTGAAGACAAGACTCGTGTGTCATAGGTTTTTTAACTGTTCAGGTAATACACTTAGATTTTGTGTAATTTGGATTTACATAGACACCCAATACTTGAGGGTACTAGGTTTCTCACAAATGAGGCAATCTGCAGAGTTTTCATATGCAAAGCTTTTGAGAAATTCAAGTATTTCATCTTAGGGAAAGCATCTATCAATTAGCCATGAAAAATTATGTAGATAGCCTGAGACAGTAAAAAAGTGGAATTTTTATCTTCTTAGATACACGTGAAAATCTTTAATTTCTCCAAATTGTATTATGAAAATGGATCTTCAGTAATGGATATGTTATAGCTAAAAACATACATCCCTGAGTAGACAGCAGAAAGAGGAGTGGAATATATGTTTTGTTTAATCTATAGGTCACCCAATAAAAAAAATAAAAAAAAAAAAGAGGAGAAGAGAGGAGAGGCAAGAAATCTATCTTGGAGCAATAATAACACAGTATGGGGCCCAGCAAATGGTATCATGGTTACATCACTGGACTCCCAAGTAGTCGACCATGGTTCAAGTCCCAGACCCAGAGACGTAAAACTCATGCCAGGCACGTGTACATGTGTGCCCAAGACACCAAGAGGAGAATGGAGGAGAAGGCACTGCTGCATAGCCATCCCCCCAGGAGTGATTTATTGTTTTCTGTCTCTCTGTCTCTTTTTGTCTCTCCAGGGAGCTCACATGTCCTATAACAAAAATTTCTCTAAAAAATAAAAATAAAAAATTACACAGTAAGATCATCAAGAAA